CTCTCTTTCCTTCCTTATGTCTCTCTGTCCCTTTTTCCTTTTTTCTTTCATCTCTCTCACTTTTTCTTTCTTTTTTCTTTATTTATTTCTTCCTTTCTTTCTCTCTCTCTCTCTCTCTTTCCTTCCTTATGTCTCTCTGTCCCTTTTTCTTTTTTTCTTTCATCTCTCTCACTTTTTCTTTCTTTTTTCTTTCTTTCTTTCTTTCTTTCTTTCTCTTTCTCTCTCTGTGTGAGTCTGTGTGTGTGCGTGTGCGTGTGTGTATGTCTGTGTGTCAGTGGTGGGTTTCAAAAAATTTTGGAACCTCTTCTGTAGGTGTGGCCTGCTTTCCGGGTCCACTGGTGGAACCTCTTCTAACCGGTTCGGTAGATTTGACGAACCGGTTCTACCGAACTGGTGCGAACCGGTAGGAACCCACCTCTGCCTGGCATGAAGAACGGGCCGTGTGGAGACTCCTGGGAGGGGAGGGTGGGGCATGCAGGTCCTTGCAACAACCCGTTTGGCGAACCAGATGCGGTTCCCCGAAACTGATGCAAACTGGCTGAATCCCACCCCTGACTATGGTGTAGACAAGTGTCATGTCCTTCATCCTCTGTTGAGGGAGGGCTGTTCAATTTAACATAAGAGCATACACCTCTTTCAAATCAATGTTCCCTTTGGTCTTGTTGCTAGCAAAACTAAATGAATGTATTCAGAACATCATTAGCAGTTGAGCTCTACCTGAAGGATCATCAGCCATTGCTATATTAGTTACATTAGGACTTTAAAAGTAGGATTAATCAACTTAGCAGTCATTCTGAACTTTAGTTGTTTGGTTTTTGACTTGACGTAATATGTGAACTCAGCTACAGTTGCTGGTAAAGCAAACTTTATGAATCCACATAATATGTGAAATAGCTCATTGAACCAACCCAAGAGAAGGAAACCATAACTCACAAGTGGGCCTACACAGTGTGTGTTTTAGGTCTTAAACTCTTAATAACTGCATTCTTGTTGTCTATAGCAGCGTTCCCCAACCTTTCAGACTGGTGCGGGAGGGGGGAGATTGCATGTTCTGCATGAGCAGTGGGAGAGCGCCAAGGTGCCAGTTTGGATTGGTTCTCCTGAACTGGTAGTAGAAATTGCGGGTGAACCTGCCCACCTACCCTGACTCTATGGCATCCCATTTAGGCACATTTTAAAGCCAAAGCGCATACAAGAAAGGCTGAGCACATGTGCAGATGGGTGCGCGCTTATATTTGTGAACTGATAGGGAAGGTAACTGAATACCACCCCTGGCAAGCGTGCATGCACAGCTCCATTGGCACAAGTGACAGGCATGCATGCCCACTAGTCATGCAAATGGACCACACCAGAGGTGGGTTGCAGGCGGTACGCCCTGGTACGGGCGTACCGGAGCCAGCCTGGAGCACCGGATACTGTTCTGGAACGGTGCGCCGGAGGGCCCACCCGCCTGCCCAAGCTCCTTACTCGTCTTTTAAGGCTTCCGTGCTTCGTGCACCTGCATGGTATGAACAGCGCCTGTGCGATGCTCTGCGGAGCTGCTGGAACATCACAGAGGCTTGTAGAAGCGCTAAGATGCATGCGCATGCTGCACACATGTGCATGTGTGCTGCACGCATCCATGTGGACGCCGCCAGGCTGGTTCCAACCGTGCTGATTGGAACGGGATCCGGAACCAACCACTGGACCACATACATGTTCACCCACTACTCGTGCAAATGGGGATGCGGTCTACAGAGAATTAGAAATTGTGACTTTTAAGACAGATGTGTTGAGTTCAATGTTGTTTACATATGTGGACTACAGGAGTGTCACCTAGGGATGATTGTAGTCAAACACATCTACCGCAGAGGTGGTATTCAGCAGGTTCTGACCATTTCTGGAGAATCGGTAGTGGAAATTTTGAGTAGTTTGGCGAACCGGTAAATAGCACCTTTGACTGGCCCCACCCCCATCTATTCTCTGCCCCCTGCGCCCCAGCTGATCGGGAGGAAATGGGGATTTTGCAGTAACCTTCCCCTGGAGTGGGGAGGGAATGAGGATTTTAGTATCCTTCTCCTGCCATGCCCACCAAGCCACCCCCAACCAAGCCACGGCCACTAAACCACGGCCACAGAACCAGTAGTAATTTTTTTTGAACCCCACCATTGATCTACGGAGTAAAAGTAGGAAAGGCTACAATTCTAACAACAAAGAATATGTAAACTAGATGCATATGTGTGCACATGTGTGTGCTAAAAATATAGAAGTGACAAAAAAATACAGCAAACCAAACCCAGGCAACATTGTTTGAAATGAAAGAGAACGTAAAAATGCCATTATGTTGTTGAAATAACTGCAAAGTGCTAATTGAGTCAGTCAATTAACTCAACCATTAACTTTTACCTTTAAAGCCCTACATGGCTTGGGACCTGGATATCTGCGGGACCGCCTCCTGCCACATAATTCCCAACGACCTATAAGATCTCACAGGCTGGGCCTCCTTCGGGTACCGTCGACCGGGCAATGCCGATTGGCGACTACTCGGGGGAGGTCTTTCTCTGTAGCTGTCCCGGCCCTGTGGAATGATCTACCCGCAGAGATCTGGACCCTTCCCACTCTCTCGGCCTTCTGTAAAGCCACTAAAACCTGGCTGTTCTGGCAGGCCTGGGGCTGTTGACACCAAATGTGGTTCAGCCCCACTTAGAACGGAGTGCATGGTGTGTTTTAAATCTATGTTTTTTAAATCTATCTATCTTTCTTTTTTTCCCCCTTTCTTTTGATTTACGTTGTATTGTTAGCCGCCCAGAGTCCTACGGGATTGGGCGGCATACAAATATTATTAAACTTTCAAACTTTCAAACCAGTGGTACCTTCAGAACTGAATAGTCTCCTAAATGCATGCACTTCAACTCAACCCCCCCACCCCCACAATTCTTAGCAAGTGCAATGCTGGCTCAAGGAATTCTGGGAGCCAGATTTTACATTAGGTCATCCAGATTGGAGGAGATTGTAGTGCCTTTTGTATTGGGGAGCAACAGCTGGACAGAGCAATATTCTTAAATCCTTCTTTTTGGATCTCATAAGTACAGGTAGTCCTCCACTTACAACAGTTCATTTAGTGACCATTCAAAGTTACAATGACACAGGAAAAAGTGACTTATAGCCATTTCCCCATACTTACGACCACTGCAGCAACTGACTCATATTTACGATGCTTGCAGTACCCCAGGATCATTTGATCTGCTTTTTTGTAGCCTTCTGACAAACACAGTCAATGGGAAAGCCAAACTGACTTAAGGACCATGTTGCTAACTCAGCAACTGCAGTGACTCACTTAACAATGGTGGCAAGAAAGGTCATAAAATGGGACAAAGCTCACAACTGCTTTCTTGCTTAGCAACAGAAATGTTGGGCTCAATTGTTGTCATAGGTGGAGGACTTCCTGCATCTGCCAACTGTACAACATGAGAAGGGATATTGGTCAAATCCAGAGGAGTTCTCAAAATGGGCTCTGGAGCACAAATCCTCCTGTAATCCCTTGACAAATTCTCTAAAGATTTCAGAGGAGACGTTTGCTCATAGATCAGCTCTGCTTCTACATGCCACTGATTCCAGGGGTGGGTTTCTGCCGGGATTACTGCCAGTTTGGTGCACGCGTGATTTTGTGTGCGCGGCTCACTTCACTCGCACGCCGGCCTGATGCATGCTCCATGCACATGTGCAGTGGCCTATAAATAGGTTTGTGCATGCACAGAACACTTTAAAAGGTCAAAAAAAGAAGAAGTTGCAGCGACTGGGGAAGCAATTTGGGGTGTGGCCAGCCTGCCATCCTTACCGGTTCGGGAGACCCAGTTTCCACTACTGGTTCCACCAAACCAGTGTGAACTGGTAGGAACCCACTTCTGACTGTTTCCCATTCTCTCACCTCATTCTGGATCATGAGTGGACGGTTCCTTCTCAGTTCTTCAACAAATGAAAAGACACCAATCTCTCCTTGGTCCTCGGCTTGGCACAGTAGTGAATCTAGAGAAATAAATGTGCCTGTCCGGCCCACCCCAGCACTGGAAAGGTGGAAAAATGGGGGAGGAAAGGCAATCAGGCATGGACAACCTTAACTCTGCTCTCTATCTGTATGTAGAGACTAAGGGAGATGACTTTGACAGACATATGCAAGAACGTTATATAAGCAAAGAGGGCTAAAATAGTCCCAGGAAGCAAAATAGTATTTGGAACTCACTCAGGCTGGTTTGTTCCTGATTCATTGGAGCATAAGAAGATAAAGTAAAGCACAAACATGTTTGCAAGATTCTGTTATTATAGCTATCTTAGTAAAGTATAGCTCTAGTTTTTGGTGGAGTTGATTTTCTAGCCTGTTATAGCTAGTATGGTGGAGACTATGGGAGATATTCTTACTTAGTCTGGGGCCCTATAGATATCTTGAACTTCAACACCCATCATCTCCAGCCACCCATGACTTCCTTGGGGCTTGATTTATTGGAAGGTGAAGGGAGATGGAAGCTAAGTGGAGAAGCTCCTAATCAATATTGCCACTTGGCTTAGAAAGGAGAGTGATTCTGAGCAGACCCTTTGGAGAAGATCTCTGCTATGAGTGTCCCACCTCCCACCTTGGTTCTTTCTTGCCCAGACCTTCTCACTTCCATTTGACGTACCTGCAGTGCACCAGAACTGGCCCATTATCCTTTATTTTGTCTAAGTCCTCCCTGACAAGATCTCGGAAATGAAGAATGGTGTCTGTGGTTTGTGGCACTCCATGATCTGGCCATGATGTGTAGTGATAATGCCTAGCGTGACGAACTTCAGACGTGATTATCTGTTGAGAAACACAACGTTCAGATATTCCCATCACCAAGGGGTATGTGTGTATGTTTGTACTTGGGAATTCTTGATATTCATCCATGCCTATTTCCCTTTCTTTTCCACTATATCCCTTTTTGACTAGGGATAGGTACCTGAACCTGCAAAAGGAAGGATGTGTTTTTCCTTGGAATGGCTAGGGTGGAAGTCACTCTGAAAAGGATTGATCTATGTAGCACTTGTTATTGTATTTTAACCTCAGGAGGAGAAGGCAATCTCAAGTCTCTGCCACTCACCCGCTTGATACAGAAGTCACGGATGGTCCAATCAGAGAGGATGGTTTCTGTGATAACGGATACAGTAATATCATCATAGGTGCAGGGTGTGTAATCCAAGGGCCAGTAGTGCTCACATTTCACCTGGAAGGAGAATATAGGACATTTAATGGCATTTGTAGCACTGGGACAAGAGGTAAAGTTATTAGATGCCTGTCAAGTTTGGTGTCGACTGTCCCACTCAGTCACCTAGCAAAGAAAGACTCCTGGCCATTTGTTTTCCCCAAGACTATTCTTCAAATGGTTACAGGAATAGCTTAAGCTGAATCTGAGGAAAGCAAATGTCCTCTCCCCCCCCCCCCCACTGGCCATCCCCTGGTTATGTGCAAATATCCAACCAGCTGCTTGTATATTGTTTAGCCCCCCCCCCCCCCCCCCCACTGGCCATCCCCTGGTTATGTGCAAATATCCAACCAGCTGCTTGTATATTGTTTAGGACAGTGGTCCCCAATCTTTTGGGCACCAGGGTCCAGTTCCACGGAGAGAGGGTTTCCATGAACCAGAGGATTGTGTGGTTTCACCTGCGGTCTGCATCCTGCAAATGGGGCTTCGCTTGTTTGCATGGCCCAGTTTCTGGCATGCTGTGTACTAGTGCTGGTCCACAGATCGGGGATCTCTGGTTTAGGAAACAGGTACTCGGTTCCCAGCTCTGCATATCATTACTTGCCCTTGGTTGGCTGTAGCTTCTCATAGGGCTCGGCTGGGCTTTTAGTCCCATCTTCTTTCTTACATTCCAATCCTT